GGTGCATCATCATCTTCATTCTTATCAATCCGGTCCTTTTTGTCCTCAAACTTCTCTTTGAAAAACTTCCGAAAGAACCCTTCTTTTTCTTCATCTTTCACTGATTTAGAGATTGATTTATCGTCAGAATCACTCTTCCTATCACGAAACAATCTCTTAAAAAAACCCTCTGAGCTTGCTGTCAATTCCTCATCGTCACCTTTACTATCCCTCGATAGCCTCTTAAAGAAGCCATACTTCTCTGCATCATCATCATCCTTCTCTGAGGACTTTCTAAAAGGCAAAGAATCTCTAATCTTAGAACCTGTCTCGTCATCACCTCTACTGTCTCTTAAAAGCCTCTTAAAGAATCCATCTTTTTCAGAGTCATCGTCACCTTTCTCCATTGACTTCCTAAAGAGCAATGCATCCCGAACCTTCGGCCCTGGTATGAATTTTTTAAAAATTTTGTTCTCATCGGGAGAGAATTGACCACCATCCTCTTGCAAATTGTTTACCGATGAAGGCGAGAAAGAAAACGACCTCTGGGCAGGTGGTGAAGACGTTAGCGACAACAATTTCTGTTTTGATGACAATATTCTATTCAATACCTGGTTCTTGCTCCCAGGGCTAGCTGACTCGTTTTGAGGACGTACCAAAGGCGGCCACTCACCCATCAAAGTGGCCGCAATCTGACATTTCTCCTGAATTCTACTAATTCCTTCATTATCATCTGAGTCTTCAAGCTCTGCCAATAAAAACCAATGCACCTTCTGAGCTATCTTAAGCGACTTAGAACACATATCAATAACAAACTTATCCAAAGACGGGCTAGGCTTGTGCACTGACATGTAACATATCTGAAACAAGTAGCTCTCAATTCCAGATAAGGGAAGAGTGTACATTCGATTACAGAGGTAGTCGCGCACCCCCGCATGGTCATGCTTGTACAGGTAGCTAACAGCGATCCACTCGCAGAAAAATGCTGAGTCAAAGAACCGTATGAGCCACCCATTCTCACTGGTGTCACTCGACAGGTTTGTCCGAGAGGTGATCTCTCGGGGCGACTCTCCCTGAACTTTTGAGGACCCAAGGCGGAATTTTAAAATGGTGCCATCCATTCACATTCACTTTTTTTTTTTTAAGATAAAGAAATATGGTAATTACCTACAAAAATTCAAACAAAAACAGCCTCAAACTATATATACCTGAAAAAAGTAAATAGGAAAGAATATTAAGTTCAAATTATCCAACTAATAAACCGTACATAGTACACCTGCTACATCACAATTATAAATTACAATGTAATTCCATTCGAATTAACCATCAAATTTGTACTGTATCGAACTCATAAATGAGAAATGAAACAGGTATTGCATATTCAATAATTCGATTAGCTACTGCATACAACAGTAAATTGTTTAGCATTGAATTCAGCAACACTACGAAACTATTCGATAATTTGCAGTACTGGGTTTAAGTGAAAAATCCTACACACTAAACGAATGTGTTTGACAACAAGATCAATTCTTTGGCATTCATTTGCCCTACAGGGAACCCTAGAATACTACAATAGTCAAATTCTCCAACCCAATCAGTACATTCTACGATCTAACTTTCAACATATCAGCGATTCGAGACAAGTTACTAATATCGAATAGGTGAAACAATGCATACCCAAAAAGCAACAGAAGAAGAAGAAGAAGAAGAATCTGAGCAAATTTTACCTTTCAATCAGAAGCCCAAAATTGCTATATTTCCTCAGAAATTTCGGCAGCGGGAAGTCGAATAGGTGAGAGTAAGGGAGTGGAAATTGAATCAGAAGAAGAAAAGGGGAGTCTTGATTGCTTGATTGCTCCGGAAAATCAAAATTGATGAATGATGAACCTCAATGGACTCGAGAGAGAGAACCCGCGAGACGAGAGAACGTCACAAATGTTGGAGGTTTCTTATTCTTTTATTTTCTTTTTATTTTTAATTTGTTTATATTAATAATTGTTTCCGGATACACGGGTTTGAGCATACGAAGTTGGCCTTCTTGTATTGGGATGGTGTAAGGGTTGGTTTGGTATTACAATGTTTTGAAAAAAAAAATTATTTTTATTGTGCTATGAGAATAAACAGCTGTGAAATAAAGTAGCAGAGTGTTTGGTAAACTTTTTTGTAAAAGTGTTTTTGAAAAAAAATAATAATATTATAGTGTTTGGTAAACTTTTATGTAAAACAGATGTGAAAAAAAACTGGTTTTTCAAAGCTAGATTTTGCAGCTTCTTGTTTTTGGCTTTTTCACCAAAAACTATGAAAAAAAAGCTGAAGTTGAATGTTTACCAAACACAAAAATAACTTCCAGCTTTTTTTTATACCAACTTTTTATCATAATCACCTCAGTACCAAATCAGGTCTAACTCATGTTTTTCCTTCTTTCTAGGCTCGCATTCCTTCTCCATAACTTGTACGATCGATACGATAGGGTGATAAGACCGTTATGTGGCTAGCAATGATGCCACTGTCACGAGCAAGAAGGGTGGAATTCCATTCATGTAATTAGATTCAAGTGCTATGATGTGATGCTTTTTAATGAAGTACAAGCTCAGGATACGGTATCTATAACTCTTGGACGATACAGTGCAAACCAACAAAGACTTAATGAGAAGTTTGAGTAAGATTTCTAATACAGCATCCTCATAAAAACAGTTGAGTTTCCTTTTAGGTTTTGGGGGTTATGCCGCATGATGGTGCCTTAGTTATGTTCACATTTGCATAAGGATAGTTTTCTGCTATCCTATATGTATAATAGTTATAGCTGACAAATAAGAATGAAGAACGAAAAGACTAATTTGCCTCTAAATTTGACGAAATGGTAGATAGAATCTAACGGTGAGGGGAAAATGGCTAATTTTCAAAAGTTTAAGTCTTAATGGGGGTCACAATTTGTCCTTCGAAATATTTTCCAATCATACGTACTTTAGAAATAAGAAAAAAAGTAATTGATCAACTCGTGAAACTCAGCAACCTAACCTGTAAAGACATAAATTAACTGCATCTAATAGGAGAAGGACACGTGAACTTTAATCTCGCTATGACAGTTTTACTCTTCACGTTGTGAGCAAACTACATAATATCTCAAGGGACTGGGGCATCTACCTCTCTTGCAAGTACGAGACATTCGGTTGCCATAAGCCCATTATGCCCATGGTGTCCTACCACCAAGCCATACCAAACCCAAGTTAGTTGAAAGCAGACTTTTTCATAGTCTCCTCTTTGGGTATCCGGCTCTCTTACACTCCAACCAACTAGTGACCTTTGGAACTACTCGTAAGCTGCCGTGGAGACTAGTATGCACCATCACTAGCATAACATAGTTGTTTGCCTAGTACGGTCTGCAACCTTCCCTTCTAAACTGCTTTCCGGTTGATACACCAGAACTCTACACACAATCTTTAGTAGGATTCATGGTTGAGATCAGAGCAAGGAAGAATAATACCCTTGGGGATAGAGGAATAGAAGAGATTGGAGCAGAAATTTGGGAGAAAAGCAATAGAAGCAAGGAAAACAAAAGAGAAAGAAAGCAAGAAGGCAACGACAATTGACCCCGCCGGAAGCTAGGGCCGACACCACCGGGTTTTCTTGGGTTTGAAAGCCTCACACAAGAAGTGAGAATCATTTTCTTAGGAAAAATGAGTTTAATAATGTCAACCCGAGCCTATTAGGTGGTCCTTTCATTAACTTCATCAATTTTCTGTTAAGTTTACAAGGTAAAATAGGTATTTTCATCCAAAAATGAACAAGAAAAAAATATAACATAATAAATATAAAAAATAAAACAATCAGAATTTTTTTTAATCTCTACCATTACAAATTAACTGAATTGTTTTTATTTATTTCATATAAAAAAAGCAAATTATTATTATTATTTTTTTAAAAGAAGAGCTTGGCTCCTTAAAGTTAATGAGGAGTTCCTCAAAATACTTCGGGTTTATTAATATAATTTCATGCTGAACTATTCATATTTGCAAAAATCAATTAAAATTAAGATCGTTTAGTCAATACTTAAGGAGTTCCGATCATAAAAACAAGGTTATGTGAAAGTTTGTTGGAAATTATATATTATAATTAATATTATAATATTTAATTTTTATATGAATGAAAAATAAAAGTCATGTGTCGTAGTTAAATTCAAATTCATGAGCTGCGTCTGTTCGTTGGAACTTTAGGCAATGGTCACAATGTTTCAAATGAGGGTGGCTTGAGTTCTATATAAACTCAAACATCCCACATATCTAATGGATCGAAGAAAAGAGTTTTCTCCAATATCTTTTATTTTTTGTTACTCAAACTCCGATTCATGTTTTGAGAGTACGAAATATATGAAGTTCGCCAGAGTTCGAAAATTGAAATTGGATTATAGATTGTTGAATCATAGGAGACGGACACCTACCGAACTACAAACACAAGAGCTGGGGCAAAATTATGTCTTTAGAACATTGCATTTTATGCAAACCTCAATCTCTAAGTTTGTTAGTATTTCTAACTTTCTTTCTAGTTATTTATATTAATCTTATATATAATTGATGTTGTGAATTTCTTTATGATTATTATTATTAGAATTCTTGTGTTATTTCCATATTTTCTATTATTGCTCTAACATAGTCACAATGTACTCTAAGAAGGAATTCATCCTCGATTCTTGAGATGCCAGGTCTTTCTCTTTCAAAAATTCATTTTCTTATCTTTTGATGAAATTCTTTTTTTGTTTCAACTTAAAAAAAACTTGACGGAGTTAATAAAATGGATTATTAGTACAACAAATCACATAATTTGAGAACGAAAAAATTATTAGTAGAGATCTGAAACGAAAACTGAACTCGCAGCATGATCATGCATCTTTTTGCCACATTTTAGCTTTTTATTTTTTTAATTTACTTTTCCATCGTTACCAAACGTAACAAAGAAATTTTATATTTTCCTTCCCTTAGTAAAAAAGCCACTCCGGACACGTTTGGACTCTCTGCTCTGTAGGCACTTTCCTTCGCAGACCCAACTCAGACTCGCACCCACTTAAGACTAAAAGAAACACACTCTCTCTCTAATCTTGACTTAAACCTCACTGCCATCCATTTCACAAACCCTAGATTATTTCCCTTCCCCCAAAAATCTCCATTTCTCTCTCTATTACCTGATTCAGTGACGGAGTTCGAATGGCCGATCCTCTGGAGAGGCTGGGATCAGAGGCCGGAGGGAGCGAATCGAACATCAAGGACGAACTCTCCATGGAGATCGATCCTCCTTTCAAAGAAAACACCGCCACCGCCGACGACTGGAGAAAGGCGCTCAGCAAGGTCGTCCCCGCCGTCGTCGTTCTGCGGACAACCGCCTGTCGTGCTTTTGACACTGAGGCCGCTGGTGCTAGCTATGCCACCGGCTTCATCGTCGATAAGCGCCGCGGGATCATCCTCACCAATCGACATGTTGTCAAGCCTGGTACTTTTTAGTTTCTTGAACTTTCTTCTTGTTGTTTGGATACTGAGGAAATGTGAGAGAAAGAAAAGGGAAAATTTCGCTTTCAAAGTTTAAGCCTTTCGAGTTTTAAAGTAAATTTGTACTCTTTTAAGCTTCTAACCAACCAATGCATTGCTTGGTAATGATTGTCTAGTCGGTAAGTATTGTCTAGTCGGTAATGATTGTCTAGTCGGTAATGATTGTCTAGTTGGTAACATTTAGTGCTCTTTTTCTTCAACGGAATTTGATTTAAGGATCTTGAACCTTCTTTGATATTTTCCCAATCTGTTTCTTTGGTACTGTAGGACCTGTAGTTGCAGAAGCTATGTTTGTGAACCGTGAAGAAATTCCAGTATATCCTATATACAGGGATCCAGTGAGTAAATTCTTTCTTATGTTTGGTTTATGATCTGCTGTAATTGCACGGTGGTTTCTAAAATCGATATTATTTTTTCCTCCATTAAACAATCTTGTACATTTCCAGTGTGATATAGTTCCTTACGCTTTGTTGTCTTACTTAACATAGTAAATGAAAAGTTGTGACTGCAGAGCAAGCAGTTTATTTTCATTATTAAGTTTTGTTGAACTTTCCTTTAAGTTCTTCAAATCGTAAGACATGGTTGTGATTTTGGGAACGTGTAAATGAGATTATCTGTTTATATGTCCTCTTACATGTTTAATGCGAATGTGATTATGATTGACACCAATGACATGTGAAGTATTTAAATTTTTTTGGTATTTAGGAAGTGATTTTGAAAATGAAAGAACCTTCAAAATGTTATTTAAAAAGCAGTTTACAAGTAGTCTGCTAGCAACAACAAAATAGCAAGAAAAGAATAATTAAAACTATTTGACTGTTCAAACGAATCTATAATTGAATTGCATGTCATACACCCTACAATTCAAGTGCATTTGAAAATTTTAGTATGATAGTAAAATATTTACATGTTTTCTTGTAAAATAAGAAACTCTTAATCATTACCTCACCCCTAGCTATAATTAAACATGGGATTTATGTAACAGGACAATTATAGATACCTTTGTAATCAATTTGTGCTTTTGACATCTTGTGTATATCCGAAACAACCTTTGTAATCAATTTGTGCGTTAGACTTCTTGTGTATATCCGAAACACTAATATATGTATATGTTTTTTCAGGTCCATGATTTTGGCTTCTTTTGTTATGATCCTAGTGCAGTACAATTTCTTAGTTATGAGGAGATTCCTCTGGCCCCTGAGGCTGCTTGTGTTGGACTAGAAATCAGGGTTGTTGGTAATGATAGTGGTGAGAAGGTATTCATTTGTCATGTTTGTGCTTTTACGTAATAGGCTCATAATTGTATGCCTTAAATTTTTTTAGTAATTTGTTATTTACTGGATTCACTTTAATTTTTAGGTCTCAATTTTGGCTGGTACTATTGCTCGTTTGGATAGAGATGCTCCACATTACAAAAAGTATGTATCAGCTTGACTAACATCTGCCTTATTCCTTTGTTCTTATTTTCCCTGAAAACTAGTGAAATATATACGTTGTCCTATGGATTCATATCATGGTTACGAAAAATTAAGAGTTTTTCATTGAATTGTAGTTTGTTGGAATAATAATTTTTTTTTTCAGAACCACTAAAGTGGTAAATCCTTGGTGCTTGTGAAATGGGAAGTATACTAGGAGGATGCCTATAGTTAAAAGAAAGCTTAAAGCTTTAGCATCCAATGGTCTAGGAAAAACCAGAATTAACAAAATTGACAAACTGAGACCTACAAGCTGTCTTTATCATGTGTGTGAAAGGCGCCAACCGCATGATGCTCACATGGTGCCTTTTACTGATTTTCTTATGTTATGTAAAAGAACAAAATAAATAAATAAAAGGAAGAGCTCTTCAAAGGGGCATAACATTCTTAGTCAGCTACCTTTTTAAACAGAGCATCCATTTAAAAATAGGACTTGGCGTTTTCTAGTATGTCATAGATGCACACACCATAGTGTGGACTGTGGATTGCCTGAGTCACAGAATAATGTAGAAGTAAATCGTTGTGCTTAACGTATAAGAACAACGACGAAAACTTTATAAAAATATAGAAGAAGACCAACTAAAACAATCTTTGTTCTTCTTTGTTAGTTTTACAGTGAACTCGTTCAAAAAAAAGCAGTCAATAGAAACAATAAAAACGTTTTATGATAACCCCCAACCACCTCTCCAAATACTGAGTCCAATAAATTTTCAAGTGCTGATTCCTTACAAATTATAAGTACTTCTTGATATAAATCTTGATTTCACCTTGTCTGCAACCTTTAATAAACTACATCTACAAGGTTACAATTGAGAAAATTGGAACTATCCCAAACTACATGGAGAAAATCATAATTGTCTCTTCTATTATTAAACTCCTCTTACAGAGGTGTGCTTGATATAAGACAACAGAGCCTAAGCTGCTTTTGTTATGCTACTGACCTATGGTAGGCAGAACACTTAACGGTTTGATCATTTGTTCTTCGGAGACTTTACAACCAGTTTTCTGTTTTTTTTTTTTTTTTTTTGGTTAATAATGATTGTGTTTTTGCACAGGGATGGTTATAATGACTTCAATACCTTCTACATGCAAGTAAGTAGCATATTCATTATTCTTGCTATCTAATAGTTTCATGTAAGCCTCCTCCACTGGAGTAGGTTTTGGGTTTATAATTTTGTGACTGTTTTCATTATTGTGCCTTAGAGTACTTCTGTTGTAAAAAATGCTTCTGTGAGGGACATATGTCAAGCGCCTTACTGTGCTGTAAACATCAAACTGTTGGATATATTTCAATGCTTGATATACTGAAGTGTTTGTATTATATCCAACCTGAAAGTGGTTGGCACTTATAGACGCTTAAATGTGTCACTTATATGAGCATTTCTGTTTCTTTTGTAGGGTAGTTTTTGGGCTATACTTGGGCCGTATTGTACTGCTTAATTGGTTATTGGGTGAGGATGAAGGTATAAGATACAGAAAAGGGAAGGAGATTCCTTTAATGAAAATGTAATTAGAATGAATAATTTGATCAACAAGAGAAGCAGACTGACATATAGAAGACAAAATTTCTTGCTTTAAAATACATTGATGTTTTATATATGGCTGGAGGTTGGTTCTGACTGCTGAGAGTTGTCCACATGGCATAAATATTTTTCTCTCCCACTTTTGGTACCGGAACTTTGAACCCATTTATCAATTCAGTGCGTGAAGATTAATTTGTCCCATTTAGTGGTTATCTAACTTTTTTGTTTCTAACAAGTACCAGGTCAAACTTTAAATAGGAATGGTTAACATATCTCAGGGGTAATATGTACTGTCCTCCTTATTATCATCGAGGGCACATTTGATGAAAAATAAGTACCAATGATCAAATTTCATTGTCCGGAAGTTTGATTTGATACTTGTTGGATGCAAAAACTTAACTTTAGGATTATAATTTTTGTTCAAGACTTGGCCTTGAATTGAGGCCAAAAGTGGAGAAAGCCCCTTGTACATAGGTTATAGATTCTATTATAAAATAAAAGGAAATAGGGAACAAAATCTGAGTGGTCAGCATTTTGTCTTTATAATTGCCCTTTGCCCTCCTCACTCATGTTGGCCGTGTTTGCACTAAGAAAATACATTCAATTTGTAAACAAGACTTTCGTGAAAAAAAGCCCCGAAGTATCTAAAGATGAGGGTTTAAATTTGTAAACAAGACTTTCATGAAAATACTCGTTCTTAGAAAAAATCATAGGTGCAAAGTTTGTTTACCTATGGTAATGGTCTTAATGATTTACACTGTTACTGATAAATTTATATACATTCCATTCATGGCATGCATGTACCTTTAGAATCTGGGAGAGTTGAGGTGCGAATATGGCTTGGCTTTGGCATTGGATTTATGGATCAGTATTTTTACTATTTTGCATATGGAATAATATATGTTTGCAGTCCTTTACTACATGACTGTCATTGTTAATTATGTTATTGAATGACTTGGCATTGTTGGTTGATACTTGATAGCAGTGCATCTTTTGCTGATATGTAGCTTTAGCCTAAAATTTCACATTTATATTTATTAGTTGTTTTTGTTATAGGCTGCATCTGGTACTAAAGGTGGTTCCAGTGGATCTCCTGTGATTGATTGGCTAGGCAGGGCGGTGGCCTTGAATGCTGGTAGCAAGTCATCAAGTGCTTCAGCTTTTTTCTTACCATTAGAACGAGTAAGTGCATTTTATGTATCTTCTGTATCTTTATTAATTATGCATGGGGATTTAATATTTTATATTCCACAATTATGATTTATGACATGGACTTATTCAAACGGCAGGTTGTGAGGGCATTGAACTATCTCCAGAAAGGCAGAGATTCCTTTGTCAATAAATGGGAGGCAGTCTCTATACCTCGTGGTACGCTTCAGGTTTGTGTTTGAATTATCCTTAAAGGGAATCACTTCAATTAAACCATTTTCCAATTCTTTTAACTTCATGTTCAGAAGGGTACTGCTATTTTGGTGGGCAGTTGACTCAGTTTCCCCCAGTGTTATTTTACCTTTGAGGTTGAAATCGGTTGCAATTGCAATGGATCATGGTGTTTTTTACAACTTAATTTATGCATCTATGTTTAGATGAAATATTGAAAACATTTTTTGATCGAGGGTAGGAGAAATAAAACCATAATATAAAAGAAATTCTTAATTTTTGGACCTGATTGATTTTATTCTTGGAAACAATACGAAGATTTCATGGTGTTCAGAGTTGTACGACGTTTGAGTAATTATTATTGTGACACAGCATATATAATTTATAATGCAGGTGACATTTGTCCATAAAGGGTTTGATGAGACACGCCGGCTTGGTCTTCAAAGTGAAACAGAGCAGGTCCTTTTTGGTTTTTTTTTTCTTTTCCGTCTTATTTCCCCATACTTCATTATTTGCATGAAAAGTAGGGTGCCTCAAGTAACCTGTGCTTTTGATTTGTTCAGTTAGTTCGTCATGCATCTCCCGAGGGTGAAACTGGGATGCTGGTTGTTGACTCTGTGGTGAGTATTATTGCATACTTTGAAATTGTGTAAGTTTTTCTTTTTCTTGGTCATCTAATTCTTACTTCTGGGATTCTTATGAGGCTGGACTTGTTTCAGGTTCCAGGTGGTCCGGCATACAAGTGTTTGGAGCCAGGGGATGTTCTTGTTTGCATGAATGGGAAAGTAAGTCATACTTTTTGTCTCATTTAATTTTGTATTTATTGAAAAGACTTTTTTTTTTTTTTTTTTTTAAATTTTTTGAGAAGAAACGATAACACTTTATTAAAATAAAAACAAGAATTACAAAATAGTGGATAAGAAATCCACCATGTAGCAAAGCTAGCTAAGATCTCTCAAATAGATTTGATTATAAGTAACATAACCTGAACCAAAATCATTTTACGGCTGCTAACATATCCCACACTATATGAGAAATAGAATAATCCTTGAACTCATTCGAAACTGATGCCCAGTATCTTGCTCGACCCCATTTAATTTTGTATTTATAGAAAACACTTTGATGTCATGCAAATTCATTGCTTTATTTGATATTGTTGTTTTATAAATATGACCACTATTTTGTTTGCAAATGTCTGGATCAAATTATAAGGTTTATTTTTCTCACTGGCCACCATCTGTAAGGTCATCAATCCGGATCAAATTATAAGCTTTATCCAATCTTATTGTTGAGTTTTGTGATGCCATTAACTTGATATTAACTATATATTATGATTAACTTGATATTAACTTTGTATAATGTAAGGTTGCTACAGTAACTCATTATGAATGGTTTTCTACTTTTGCAAACGCATCTTCTAGATTGGATAAATAATCAATGATAATTTTTTATGGTCCATATTGTTTATTTTAGATGACACATGTTAGAATTCAACTCTTTATCTATTATCTCTTATATATATAAAGGGAGAAGAAAAAAACTGTGAAGCTTTCATAATCTCAAAATTGCCCTTCTTCCATTAGGATTTCAAAGAAAAAACAATTTCACAAAAAATAAAAAAACCACCCATGTAAACTATAATAACTAAATTAAGTAAATTTGAAGGAAAAAAAAAAACAGAAAGACAAAACAATAAATAATACATCATCAGACAAAAATAAATAGTACGCTTGTGGCAATAGGTAGTTTGTCTATAAATGCTATCCAAAGTAAATACTTTTAGGCTCCATTTGATTGTGGGAAAGGAAACCTCAAATGTTTTTCATGCAAGCAAGACAGTAGCTACACAATTGAATCTAACGTATTGGATTGCTGTGCAGGTAATTACCCAATTCCTAAAATTGGAGACTTTACTTGATGACAGTGTCAATCAAAAGATTGAATTACAGATTGAAAGGGGTGGCACACAATTAACTGTTAACTTGACGGTGAGAGGTTTTCTTGTTTGGTATTATGTTTTGCTATGGAAAAGTCTCGTATATATGTCTGGAAAATTTATTGTAGTGGCAATCAACAGGTGCACTGCTTAATCAAGGCATTGCAAGCTTTACTCTTATCTTTTTAACATTAATTATTATCCAATGTTGGCACCCTTCTGGAAGATTAAGAACAGTTCATTCAATATTATGAATCAAGAATGTTAGGAGTTGTTACTTGTAATTTATGTCTTTTCTTGATTGTATAATGCTCTACTTGTTTTTTCATGGGATTATGAATTTGTTTTTGAATAATGTTTTAAGAAAAGGAGAAAGAAAATGAGAGATGCCCATCTGAACCAGAAATTAAAAGGAACTGCCACCACATGCTTTCAAACAATGTTTTCACTAATTCTTCCTATTATTTGTTTAGTTCTTGAAAGCACAAATTGTTTTCCTTATAAATGAGAAGATGAGATTTCATTACTTAGGAGAAACCAAATGTTGCAGAAGATATGTGCACGCACTAACATGTCATCTTTGTCTCTCTTTTTATGCATTGGCCAATTGAAGTCAGCTGGTAGAGATCATTTAAGTGCTTAGGTGGATCTGGCCTTACCTTATTTAATATTCTATGTTCATGTCCATGGTATGTTTAGAAGATGCATCAGTGAATGTAAATGTCTCAGTGCACATGATTTTAAGCTGCAGTGTTTTCTGTTTCACTTAATGTTTCTGAGAATGCTTCAGTGTATATGTGTCTGTGTACCTAAGGTTCCTCGTAATATGAATGGTATGTGTGTGCATTTGTGTTTTGTTTTTTATCAACAATTCCTGTCCATGAGATTTGAACAGTTAGGACGCCATTAGCAAATGGTATCTGTTTGTGTGGGTGATTTAACTAGGAGTTGGGACTTATGGAACCTTGTATAACATGAGGGGCATCTTTAATGGACTGAAAACAGGGTAGAGAAAAGGATAGGAGAGGAAAACCAATAACAGTGAATTTATTGAAATGGTTGAACCGCACATGTAGAGGTTTAAGCCATCACCTGTTAGGGATGCTCTGATTGCCCTTTAGACATGGCTAGGTTAGAGGTGTTTTCTCTGATAATATTTTATGTCACAAGTCAACTTTCACTGCATTAGCCTTTGTCTGAAAATATTAGATATAGTTACTTTGCTTGCATTAATATCAGCTTGGTAAATTGAATCTTTTGTTTTTCGATCTGAAATTGTCCCTGCCCATTCCTCATTATGCATCGTGATGAAAGAGAGACTAATGCCTTTATCACAATGCATAATTAAGTTATTTCTTCACTGGGCTAGGTATGAACTTATTGAGGTCTTTACCCCATAATTTATTCAACTGTGTTATATACCTGGATGCAGTTTGGTGGTATTCCTTTAGATTGTAGCATTGTTTCATTAAGGTGCCATCAGTAAATTTGTTATCCTATTTATTTCAGGTGCAAGATTTACACTCAATAACCCCTAATTACTTCTTGGAAGTAAGTGGTGGAGTGATTCAACCTCTATCGTACCAACAGGTTGGTTGATTTTGCCGTTTGTACTTAGTATTCGAGAGTGATCTTACAAGTTGTTGCTGGGCTATTGTCCTCATATAGAAGTCTGCATTTGCTTGAACTGAATTTTTTTATTCCAATTTTGGCATGCTTTTAACCAAGTCAAGTGCATTTCTTTTGCATATTACATGTGTAGCTTGTCGTATACTCTCTCTCTCTCTCTCTCTCTCTCTATATATATATATATATATATATTCCATTCTGAGAGCTTTATGCACGCCTTTTTTGAATTATGTTGACCCTGCCTATTGAAATAATATTTCCTCATTTTCCATTTACCATGGCTTTGGCTTATTATCTTGATTTGTCTGATTTGTTTTATGTTTGAACCTTTCACTTAATGTTATGACATTACTCTGCTTTTCATACAGGCTAGAAATTTTCGTTTCCCTTGTGGCCTTGTATATGTGACAGAACCAGGGTACGTTCTCTTGATCTTGTGCAATATGTTTTGCTTCCTGTTATTACTCAAATAAAAGAACTGTGGCCTACGGGATGATGGTGTCAGCTTTTTCTTTCTTTTCTATTTTTTTTTTTTTGAGAAAAAAAGATAACAATTTATTAAAACAATAACATGAATTACAAAATATGGATAAGAAATCCACCATCTAGCAAAACTAGCTAAGACCTTTCAAGTAGATCTATATGAGAAAGAGAATAAATTTGAGAATAAATTTTTCTGATGATACCAATAATTCCATCCTAGTTGTGATAAGAACATTGCTCTTAGTTTTTATTTTAAGAGTGTTTTAATTCAGATATTTATTGAAGGGTGAATTTGAAAAGTATTATAGGTCATGTGTCTCTCTCTTTATAGGTCTTATTTCGTTTTTGAACTGCACCTATTGACAAAATTGATCTGCATTTTTTTTGAGGAACAATTATTTAATTTGTTACAGATATATGCTCCTTAGAGCTGGAGTTCCTTGCCATGCTATCATTAACAATTATTTAATTTGTTACAGATATATGCTCCTTAGAGCTGGAGTTCCTCGCCATGCTATCATTAAGAAGTTTGCTGGTGAGGAAATATCGCGACTTGAGGATCTAATCTCAGTTCTATGCAAGCTATCTCGTGGTGCTCGAGTGCCATTAGAGTATATAAGCTACATGGATCGTCATCGAAGGAAGGTAATACTTTGATTTAGTTATACTGTATTCCACCAATTATTGGCATGAAAATAGTTGTACATGCTGGTTTGGTCAATTCATCTTTAAGATTGCACAAAGGAATAAGAAATAAAAATCTGATTTCTGAACCATAGGGTCCCACGAGTTGGCTTTTCTAATGAAACCCAGCAAATGCTTGTAATGAGCTGCCCCATTAGATATCTTAGAGAAATTAGCTATTAACTGTTTTTATCTTTTCTTAGTTGGTTCTCATCTGTTGATTGTTTTGGTGGCTGCAGTCAGTCCTGGTCACGGTTGATCGCCATGAATGGTATGCGCCTCCACAGATATACACTCGTGATGATTGTACTGGTCTTTGGACTGCTAAGCCTGTGTTTCAACTTGATGGTAATCTACAATCATCTGGTATCAATGAACTCGGAGGTACAGGAAGCCAAGCAGTTCCGCTAAGTAGTGAAGTCACTTCCCTGGTAGACATGCAGCATAATAGCCACGAGCAATTGACTGATGGTGTCACCAGTATGGAAACCAGTTATGAGCACGTATCTGAAGGAGCACATTGTAGGGATGAACTGGATGTTGAAACAAAGAAAAGGCGAGTGAAGGAGGGTTTTCCTTCTGATGGAAATGTTGTTGCTGACTGTTCTTTTCCTGAAGCAAATGACAGTAAGCTGGATGATCCAAATACTATGGAGAATGCTGTTCTGAGAGACTTTGAAGGTGCAAATGTAGCAACTGCTAATGCTTCATTAGCTGAACGTGTTATAGAGCCGACTCTCGTTATGCTTGAGGTAACCATCTCAGAGATATATTAAGTTCTCTATGTGTTTCTCGATAGTCTCTTTCCTAACTCTAAAATCTTTGCTAGAAAGGAAACTGTCATTATTCTTTGTATTGGCATTTGGCAGTATGTTCTCTCTCTCTCTCTCTCTCTCTCTCTCTCTCTCTCTCTCACACACACACGCGCGCGCGCGCGCGCATGCACTTGTGCCCACAGGCTTTCACACACACACGAAATCTCACTTGGTCACACTTTTTTCAAAGGAAAAACCCAACACTAGGTGGTTTGCAGCCTATGACTACAAATTCTTTTTGTGCCATTTTATTGTGATACTGTCAGGATAGGTATGTTGTTTTTGTTTGCAGGCTACCTGCTGGTTTTGTGGATTTCTTTCTAGTGGATAGCATGTTAACTGTGTTTGTACTTGGGAATTTTTGTTGTGTTTCAGTGAGTGGTGTCACTCTGTCAGTATATTTACAGTCATGGATGTTTTGTTAAGTATTTTATATTGATGGTTTAAATTTTTTATCACCAAAAAATTCTTGCTACAGATTTGTATGACATTCTTGTGAATATTAAGGGGGTGCTCTCATATGATTACAGGTTCATGTGCCACCTTCATGTATGCTTGATGGTGTACATTCACAACATTTTTTCGGGACTGGTGTCATCATCTATCATTCTGAAAACATGGGATTGGTTGCTGTTGACAAGAACACAGTTGCAATAGCTGCATCTGATGTGATGCTTTCATTTGCTGCTTTTCCAATTGAAATTCCTGGCGAGGTAATTCTATAGAATGTAAACAGATGTAAATGATGATGCCTTTGAAATTACCTAAACTGCCTATTTTAAATTTCAGGTGGTTTTTCTCCACCCTGTTCACAATTATGCTCTCATTTCGTATGATCCCTTGGCCCTGGGAGCTGTTGGTTCGTCTGCTGTTCGTGCTGCTGAACTACTTCCTGGTAGGGCTGGCTTTTCACCTTATCTCTAATTTTACCTTTCAGTTTATGTGCATAGTGTGTATGTGTGTATTAGTATACTATACAATGATATTATTGCTGTATTTTATTAAATGATTTGTTACTTGTTTATTTCTAATCCATTTTCCAGGATTAGGTTTGTAAATTTGATATTGCATATACTTAAACAAAAGGTACTGATTAAGGATATTAGTTAAATGTTTTTTTTTTTTTAAATTTTTTTTAATAATAATTTTAGACATTTATAATTGTTTAAGTCAAAATGAAACTTAATTCTTTTAAAACATTAGTTAAAGCACTTTGATTTTACTTTTTGTTTGTGTCTCAGCTTGTTTATTTGTTGTCAAGGTACTATCCTATTGTTAAGATAAGATAGAAATAGTTGGCTTAAGTACTAACAGAATCAGTTTTTGAAAACAGTGGTCAAGCAAGAAAAAACTTAGCATGTTATTATAAAGGATGATAATGGTTGATGGAGTGTCAGTTGAAACCTTGGTAGTTTGAGTAATTTCTAGATATCTAGAATTTTGACTTTATATAATGAAATATCTTTAATATTTGAAACCTTGATGGTTGGAGTAATTTCTGTTGTCGTAGAATTTTGGTGGTTAGAAGGGGGGTGCAGTTTTGGGAAGATGTGCCATGATGGCAATGTTTTGGTATTTATGCTGGAATAGGGTTTATTTTTGGGCTTCTTTGTAGGATCTACTGCTTCAATGTTAGAGAATTGTTTTTTTTTTTTTTTTTGGTTATTTTCTCAGATTGGAAAGTAGTAGTTTGGTCATTTTAAGGCCTTTCTGGTTTTGTTGTATTATACTTAGTTTACAACTAGTTCCTGTAAAATTTTCTATTCAGTTGCGGACTGCTCCACTATTGTGGTACTTTTGTTTCTTAATTACATTTCTTTTTCCTATGAAAAGAAAACAATTTTGTGGTTTGTCTCTTTTGCATCTCTTGTTCGGATCTACTCCATTGTGTTTGAACAAATTTACTGATAAAATTATTCTCTGAGACAGAGCCTGCATTGCGTCGGGGGGATTCTGTGTATCTTGTGGGGTTAAGTAGAAGCCTACAAGCAACATCTAGAAAGTCAATTGTAACTAACCCGTGTGCTGCATTAAATATTGGATCTGCTGATTGTCCACGGTACAGAGCAACCAATATGGAAGTCATTGAGCTTGATACTGGTAACTGAAATTCTTATTGCTTAAACTAGAACTTGATTTCACTGTGCTGATTTTGATTCACTTTTTGCTTTTAATGCTGCGCTCTGTTCAGATTTTGGCAGTACATTTTCTGGTGTACTAACTGATGAGTATGGAAGGGTTCAAGCCATCTGGGGCAGCTTTTCAACTCAGGTTTCCATCCTTTCCCTCAGCAAAAGGAAAAGAAAAGGCAAAATAAAAAAATTCAGGTATTTACTTTAACATCTGTTAATTTGATTTTCATTTTTGATTTGTATTTGCAGCTAAAATTTGGTGGCAGTAGCTCCGAAGATCATCAGTTTGTTAGAGGTCTCCCTATTTATTCAATCAGTCAAGTCCTAGAAAAAATTATCTCTGGTGCTCAAGGCCCTCCTCTTCTCATAAATCGTGTCAAAAGGCCAATGCCTCTTGTGAGAATTTTAGAGGTTGAACTATATCCTACATTGCTTTCAAAAGCCCGAAGCTTTGGACTGAGTGATGACTGGGTCCAAGTACGTCTTCTTCCTGATACTAAATATTTCTTCCGACTATGTCTTTGTTTTGTATCTTTCTTTCATGTCAACTTTCAAAGAATTAGATGCTTTTGGTATGACGTTGCTTATGGATAATTAGTAATCCCTCATGGTCTATATAATTATAAAGAAACACTTTAAGGTTGAAGTTGGAGGGAAAAACCCAACAATAAATTTATAATGTTTGTATGACACAATTAGTGATGCTAAATCTGTTTGAAATTTTGTATCACAATAAAATCAAAGTAAGAAGCCTCTGTTTTAACCCTTATTTCTTAAGAGAGCATCATATAAATAATAAAATTCTGGAGATCACACTACCACTTAACAAAATCTTCTCTTGATGATGTCCCTACTTCTGCCAACATGAGCCTAACTGGATAGTTGCAGCCATCCAGCTGTTAGGCCTTTTATTGCAGCCCAGGTTAGGGGAGTTTGAACTGAACTGAAAACTGACATTGATTTAATCATTGTCCTGTCTCTTGCTAATGGGGTATTTTTCATCAGTATTTGGGCTCTGTTGATCATCTTTGAATCTCTTATTGCCATCTTGGCCTAGTTGATTGTGAGAAAAACTGGATTGGTTTTATTAAGCTTTCCCACTGATATTTGGTGTACCTGGATGGAGAGGAGCGTTCAGATCCTTTTTGGATTGGAATGCTTAATGTTAAAAAATAAAAATCCACCCTTACCTCTTGTTCCTCTTTTAGTAGTTAAGTTTTATGTTTCTGTGCTGTGCCTCAATGGCACTTAATTTAGGGTGGTGCTATCCACACACCCATTTTACCTCCCACACACCCTTGTTAGTTTTTGTCATTTGATCTTCTTCAATTCTTTTGATCTAATGGCTGAAAACTGAGGAGTGTGGGAAGGTAAAAAGAGGTGTGGATAGCACCACCCTTAATTTATTTTGAATGAACTAGAGAAACTGCAAGGGCTAAATAAACTGTCCCTTATTCTCCACATTTTGACTATTATTCTGAACCTCTTTTTTGGCCTTTTGACATCCTTTACTCTCTTGGTTTTACTGTTAAACTCAGAAGCCTTGTTTCTGGTCCTTGATCTCGATTGTGCATTTTTTTTGTTTATTGATTTTGGAGTTGGATCCCTAAACTGATATATGTGTGTGTGGAAAATTATCATGAGATTGTGATTATTGTTCTTGTTTTAGGCTCTTGTTAAGAAAGATCCGATTAGACGACAAGTTTTACGTGTCAAAGGATGTTTAGCTGGATCTAAAGCAGAAAATCTGTTAGAACAAGGAGACATGGTTTTGGCGATCAATAAGGAGCCGGTTACATGTTTCTCCGATGTTGAAAATGTCTGCCAAGCACTAGATAAAAGTGAAAACAACGATGGCCAGCTTGACATGACCATCTTTCGCCAGGTAAAGAGAATTTGTGTTTGTTAGATCCCATTTCCAGTCATTGCAAAATCTTTAATCTTTGAGTTAGGAAAGTGGTAGTATTTTGTCTTGGTATGGGGCTGTTTCCTTGGATTATTACTGTATGGATTTGTTTTAATGCTTGATTTAGGGGCAAGGTCTTTTAAATTACGCTCCTCTTAAAGTCTCATCTCTATTTTTTTCCAGGGGCGCGAAATCAATCTTCTTGTGGGAACGGATGTTAGGGATGGAAGTGGTACTACTCGTGTAATAAATTGGTGTGGATGTATCGTTCAGGATCCTCATCCAGCAGTGCGTGCTCTTGGGTTTCTTCCAGATGAAGGTCATGGCGTATATGTCGCGAGGTACAAATTCCTCTTTGTGAAATTTGAATGCTTGATTTGGGTGAAAGGTGACTACATACTACACTCTATTTTGACAGCAAAACTATTTTTTGAGTACAGTAGGGTTTTTAAGTTAGTATAGATACAGTTAGTATGTATCTATGAACGCCAGCAATTCTACAGGTCAAACTGGTGTACAATGCCTGGTGGACGGACACTCCTCTGATACCAATTTTACAGTTTCCACATGTCAAAAGAAAGTTCATTCGTCATCAAGCACTCACATGTGTCAGCATTTGTGTTGACTAGTGTCATGCATATTGCAAACTGGTGTGTGTGTATTCATATTGCACGTATTTTCATTTGGAGGAATGAATCTTATTGTAATGCCATAGATGGAGTGGGAGTGTGGGATTAGGAGAGTACATGCGATAAGAGACTCTTGTTGGCGGGTGGAATATATTGTTTTTGAAAATTAGGCCTTAGCGGCATTTTGCTTAATATATGTAGTTATGTACACAGATAAATAAATAATTACTTGCAATTTTTGTTTTATAAACTTTTCAGTGATATGACCTTCCATGTCCCACTGTTCGATTCTCTTTATATGCTGACGAGTTGCCAAATTTATCAGGTGGTGTCATGGTAGTCCAGTGCATAGATATGGTCTATATGCTCTTCAGTGGATTGTTGAAGTTAATGGAAAAAAGACTCCTGATTTAGATGCTTTCGTGGATGTAACAAAGGTACGTACACTTGACTTCATATTTTATGTGTGTTCGTGCGATGCATTGCTGAGATTTGCGCAATATATAGCTCGCGATAGCTTTTTTGTTTCCCCTTTGGTGTTTTTCATATTATATAAATTGAGTTGCGTATGATATCTTTGCTTTCGTATATTTTCTAATTTTTGTAATCTTGCTTTAAAATGTGATCAGGAATTGGAACACGGACAGTTTGTTCGTGTGAGGACAGTCCATCTAAATGGGAAGCCGAGAGTTCTAACATTGAAACAGGACTTGCACTACTGGCCCACATGGGAGTTGAGATTTGATCCTGATTCTGCCATCTGGGGTCGAAAGACGATAAAGGCGCTAGATTATACTAGTATATAAACAAGGCGCGTTCATCTCGCAACGCCTCGGAAGCAGGCGGTAAACGCTTAGAAACGCCGAAGCCCCTCGATACCAGTCGGGGCTTCGGGCCATCATACATGGAGTCATATTCAGGCTGGCAGCTATCTGCACTGTGCATTGAATTATTCTCAGGGGTTCATTATATTATATGTTATATTCTGGAACCATATTATCTGTAGATGCAATGGGAATTGTTATAGAAAAGTTTGAGGTATGGTCGTTTGGATTTGTATCCCTTCAATTAACAAAATGTGGAATTGTTAGATGAAGAAAATAAAAAAATAAACACAAAGTTGATATTTTAATTTATTGTAGGAAATGTGTTATGGTTATTTAGTTAATTTATGAATGTATTTTCAGCTTCTTTTATGATACTAATGACCTCTGGTGACCAACCACATACAAGACAACTTTGATGTTTCAAATTAGAGTAGTAGCTTGTATTATTTCAACTTTGGAGTTATTTTTCGACATGTGTATGTTTTTTTTTTGTTTGTTAAATGAAAGATTTTGTTAGATTAGATATTAGATTAGCTATTGAGGGGTTTGAACTCACACGTCGTTATGTAAGAGTTCACCTTTCCACCGCAGTGGTAAATGGTTACTTAATTGATAGGTGTTGAGCGTTTATGTTTTGGTGTCTATACTCATTATTTTTAATTAAAAAATCAAATTTTCTTTAAACTCAAGTTTACAATCGAAATTAGTATCACAAATTCAATTAAATATGTAAAGTTATCTTTAAGCTGAATTAAAAGTAAGAAACCAAAAACCAGCAACGGTGCTGACCACCACCAATACAACGTATACATGTATTCCCAAATGCAAAAATAACGAATGGGTTTTCTTTCTTTCAGTTTGTTGTGTTAAATTGACAAAGGTGAAGAAATTGTGTCTGCCCCTTCGGTTTGTCGTGCATTCACAAGACGATATTTTTGTGCTTAAATTCTTGAACAGCAGGAAATTGCAAGACCACCTATGATCATAACGGATAACTCGTAACAGCTTGAGTCCATGATAAACCAAATATATGTCCAGCATATAGAAACTGGAAACTTCCTCTGTAAGTTTTCCAATTGTATTTCTGAATTAATTAGTTTGTACACTGTGAAGACATATATATAGCCTTTGGCTATTTACAAAGATACCCCTTAACTACCTACCTTATAACAGTTCTAACTAATCACAAACATTAGCACAGCTAAGTACATTTAGAGATAACAGACTATTTTACAGTAACTGAAATGGGTGACTTGTCATTTTCCCTAATACACCCCCTCAAGCTAGAAGGGGAATCAGAACAGATTCCAATGGGTAGCTTGGAGCATAGGAACTGAAATCGACTTTTGGATAATGACTTGGTGTGAAGATCAGCTACTTGGTCTGCACTGCAAACATACTGAACTTTGAGAAGATTAGCTAGAACCAATTCTCGAATATAGTGGTAATCAATCTCAACATGCTTTGTACGAGCATGAAAAACAGGATTAGAAGCTAGGGAGATGGCTGAGATGTTGTCACACCAAAGTGTAGGCAGTGTAGGGATAGGGAAGTGAAGATCTCTGAGGATTTTGCAAACCCAAGTAAGTTCAGCAGCTGTATGAGCTAAGGAGCGATATTCAGCCTCTGTAGATGACCGTGCAATAGTACTTTGTTTCTTAGCACTCCAGCTAATGAGATTGGAGCCTAAGAACACACAATAGCCACTGGTAGATCTTCTATCAAAAGTGCAGCCAGCCCAATCAACATCAGAGTATGCTGAAAGATGGGTGGAACCCTTGGTGAACCATAAACCATGGGAAAGAGAGCCTTTAAGAAATCGAAGAACTCTTTTAGCTGCCTGAAGATGTTGTTCCCTGGGAGCATGCATGAATTGGCAGATCTGGTTGACAGCAAAAGCGAGATCCGGTCTAGTCCAAGTAAGGTATTGTAATCCCCCAACAATAGAACGATATTCAGTGGGGTTGGACAAGAGAGGCCCACTGTTATCTAATTTTGTGGAACTAAGGGGTGTGCAGCACGGTTTGGCACCCTCCATGTGTATTTTCTTAAGAAGATCAATTAAGTACTTTGATTGATGAACAAAAATACCATGGGAGGATCTGTGTACTTCTAAGCCCAAGAAGTAGTGTAAAGGACCAAGATCCTTTACTGGAAACTGAGAACTGAGTTGGGTGATAAACTGTTGACAGATTTGAGAGTGAGGACCGGTGACTAGAATGTCATCAACATACACAAGAACAATAACCAAATGAGGACCAGGAAGAACAAACAATGAGGCATCAGATGAAGATTGTTGAAACCCAAGAGAATGAAGAGCTTGAAAAAGTTTATCAAACCAAGCTCGAGGAGCTTGTTTTAGTCCATATAAAGATTTCTGCAACTTACAAACTGAAGTAGGAGAATTGGGATCAACAAACCCAGGAGGTTGTTGCATGTAGACATCCTCCTTTAAGTCACCATGAAGAAAGGCATTGCTTATATCCAATTGATTGAGAAACCAGTTATGTTGGACAGCAAGACTGAGTAAGATCCGAATGGTAACGGGCTTGGCAACTGGACTAAAGGTCTCTTGGAAGTCAATACCTTCTTGTTGATGAAAACCCTTGGCTACTAGTCTGGCCTTAAATCTGTCAATGGTGCCATCAGCCTTTTTCTTAACTCGAAACACCCATTTACATCCAACTAGATTTTGGGAAGGATGAGAGGGGACAAGGGACCAAGTACCAGTAGAGATCAATGCATTATACTCATCTTGCATTGCAGCTCGCCAATGAGCATGCTTAGAAGCTTGCAGGTATGTACTAGGAACATAATCAGTGTCAACAGGAAGAGGATGCTTAGTTGCTGCATAGGCATGAGGGAGAGATTTATAAATGCCAGCCTTGGATCGTGTGATCATTGGATGAGAATTAAGAGGAAGAAGAGAAGGATTGGACTGACTTAAGGGTAAGGTGGAGGATTCAGAAACGGAGTCAGAACTGGAAGCAGCAGGGACTGAAATGGGTTGAGAAGAAGAAGGATGGGGAGAAGCAGAGGCAGAAGGAGAAACAGGTGAAGAAGATGGGGCACGGCTAGGAGAGAGATGGGGAATATATTTCTCAAAATAAAGATCCAAAGAGGAAGAGCTTGCTGGTGAGGATGGGTTGGGACAGAAACAGGGAGGCTGCAGGGATTGAAATGGATAAGAACTTTCATCAAAGACAACATGTCGGGAGATGTAAATGCGAGTGGTGAGGGGATCAAGGCATCGATAGCCTTTGTGTTGAAGGCTATATCCAAGAAAAATACAACTTTTGCTCTTGGCATCTAATTTGCTGTGAACATATGGTTGGAGCCAAGGAAAGCATTGGCAACCAAACACTTTAAGTTTAGAGTAATCTGGGGGTTGCTGAAATAATAAATCCCATGGTGATGAGGAAATACCAGATATGGGAAGCCGATTAATAAGATAGATGGCAGTGGAGAAGGCTTCAACCCAAAATACATGAGGAACATTAGAAGCAACTAGCAAAGTACGAGCTGTCTCAACAAGATGCCTGTGCTTTCTCTCAGCACAACTATTCTGTTCAGGAGTATGTGGACAGCTAAATTGGTGAAAAATGCCATGTGTACTGAGAAAGGAAGCAAAAGCGGTACTGATGAATTCACCCCCTGAATCTGAGCGCAAAACTTTGATTTTATTTCCAAGTAAATTTTCTACATAAGATTTGAAGACAACAAATGTAGAAAAAACATCTGACTTGGACTTCAAAGGAAAAAACCAGCTATATTTGCTAAAGTCATCAACAATGAGCAAATAGTACTTGAAACCACTGTTTGAGATAACAGGTGCTGGACCCCACAGATCACAGTGTAGAAGTTGAAGACTGTGAGTTGTTGTGGAAGAAGAAATTCCAAAAGGAAGCTTATGATTCTTGGCAAGAGCACAATCTGAGCAGAAGAAATCAGTAGTAGACTTGCCTTGTAAGGACAGTTTATTAGTAGAAAGTACCCTTCTGAAAATAGAGGAGGATGGATGACCCAAGCGTCGGTGCCAAACTTTGACAGGAGCCTTGACACTGAGCAGAGCTGAGGGAGAAGAAATTGAAGAAGATCTGGAACCTTGAAGAGGGTAGAATCCATCTCTAACGGGTCCCCGCAAAAGCATCTTCCCCGAAATACGATCCTTAACAGTGGATCCATAAGGGTCAAGGGTCAATGAACAGTTATTATCTTTGAGAAACTGATAAGCAGACAAGAGATTATGTTTCATGTAGGGAACATGTAAAACATTCTGCAGCTTAAAGGAAGTATGAGGAGTATGCAAAGCAGATGAACCAATATGATGAATAGAAAGACCTTTACCATCACCAATATACACTTTATCTTCACCAGTATAGGGAGTGGGAGAAGAGATGTTGGCAACATCATTAGTAATGTGAGAAGTCGCACCCGAGTCAATCAACCAAGGCTGAGCTGGTTTGGCAGAATGGTTGACATACATAGCAGCGAGTTTAGCTGGAGGAATCCGACCACAGATGTCAGGATTCATTCGATCAAAACAATCAAGAGCCTCATGACTGTTAGAGCCACATATTTGACATGGAACTTTGAAATGGGAAGAGCCTTGAGGATGACGAGAGCCTTGAAAGTTACGATTTCCACGAGTGTTGGAGTAATTGCCACGGTTCATTTGGAAATTGCGATTGCCTCTGTGAGAGAAGGAATGGCCTCTGTTATGTTTGCCACGATTTGCAGATTTTGATTGTTGCCAGGATGAAGATTGGTGCTGAGCAGCGAACACAGAAGGAGTAGGTAGCAGAGGAGGCTGAGAGTGCACCGAGAAGGCTTGAAAAGGTTCAGCAGCAGAGGATGAACTGATATTTTTGCGTCGAGCCATGGACAGTTCTTTAGTGAGAAGAAGACCATGGAGTTCATCAAGAGAAGTAGAGGACAATCGAACCATGATTGAGTCAATGAATGACTCAAAATCATCAGGCAAGCCATGAAGTGTGGCTGCAATTAGGTCGCGATCAGAAACGGAGGCACCAGCAGCTTGCAAGGAGTCTGAGATTTCCTTAATTTCTTGAAGATACTCGGAGATGGAGCGAGAACCTTTCTGAACAGATTGGAGACGCGACCGTAATTGATGAATATGAGCCTCTGAAATTCCACCAAATCTCTGTTCAAGCTTCAACCAGAGTTCGCGAGACGAAGAAACACCCACCGTGAAGGGGATGATTTCCTCAGAAAGTGTGGAATTGAACCAGATCAAGAGATTTTGATCTTTTTCGTACCATTCCTCAAAAGCAGGATTAATGTTGCGA